ATTCCTGCAACTTCTGTCGCGTGCACTGTGGAACGAGGAGAGATACTTGCTCTTTCTCATTGACAGGGTAGAGAAGTATCGCGGTACAGTGATAACACTTAAACCGTTTACGAAACACGTACTATTGAAGGATGATGTGCCAACATAACCAACAAAAGTGGAATAACAATATGATGGAATAACTGCTTGCTGGAGGAAGATGAAACTGTCTGAAGTTACTTGTCAGATAATTATAAAACATGTTTACAAGTAGGGTTGCGGCGACAGAATATTTTATCAAGCTCCAGTACTATCTTCAATCTGACTGTGTTGTACAAAAGTAATGACAATATACCGAAGTCAAGAGAGTGATAACAAGTGGAAATCTAAAGATACAAATATATGCAGAAGAATAAATCACATGAATAAAATTCCATTGAGATTCTATTCATCAACATTTTTAACTCCTAGTGTAATCAAGCTATACGAACTCACATTACTTAATAATTTTCGATACACAATCACAAACATCCCCATCCATATGTATTCACATGTCGAATTAATCCCATCCTACCATAATACATTGAACGATCCCCTGAACCGAGGGTTAAGCAAAACAGATATCGAGAGAAAGGGACGCTGTGTTTCTGCTATGTGTAGCATATTTCCTGGTTGGTAAAACGTTCGCGTCATAGCAACTATCGCATAACTCCCGACGTTGCTGCAGAAACGACGGCGAAGGAACCGGAAGAAGGTGTCGTCTCGTCACCTTACTCGAGCAAATACGACGCAAATTCGATACGAGAGGCATCCCGCCTCGGTCGACCTGACGCTCGCGTCGAGAATGAGATACGGCACGACTACACCTGGGAATAGTCGAGCTTTCTCCTTCCACACCCCTTCTCCTCGTTCCAGCGCCTACGCCCCTTCTCTGGCACTCGCCTATGCCTCTTGCCCCTCTTTCACCTTCCATCTTTCCACCTGCCTTTCACGATAACGCGTCGACCAAAGTAACACGTCGGTTTGACTGATGTCGCCTGGCGACGTAAACGCCCTCGGGGAGATGCCTTCCGGTTTGATGGCGCAACCGTTCTCCAGCTGTCTGTTGCCCCAGAAAGACACGCGAACTGCAACGCCGACAAAGATCGACCGATACCCTTGATTATCGTTGCTGGCACTTTGAGAAGATTATAAAAGTATGTATTTTCGATTCCTACAAGAAGAAAAGGTTACAGTTTACAGCTTTCGAGATTACATATAAGGTGAGAGACACGTAAGAATATATTCACAACTTTTCTAAAGAAATCGAGTAGTTTAGCACTAACCGGACTTTATACTTCTGTCAGCTGCTCTGCAGCTCTTATGGTATAACGGTGTGTTGTAATTTTCCGTCTCCAAGAGAGAATATAATTTTCTCCCTATTTCTGACAAGGGGATATAAACAGGTTTTCGTTTCCTTTTGCAGTTTAGTGACACTGTCTGATGTCCACTTGCATAAACCAATAAGAAAATTTCGCTTACAATCTCTCAGTTGTAGAACGTTGAACTCACCTCACCCAACTTATTAAAAATCACAGGTAGAAAAATACTTTGATATAAATTGTAAACTTAGAAAATACCTGAGTCATCTTTACTTTTAATCTTCGTGATTAATCTAACACGTACTTCATTATTCTTTATCGAATGATAAAACTCAAAATTTCAGTCAAACTTCTTTCATTGGAGTTATTGCGAACTCTTTAGAAAACGACATTAAGCAAATTTCTCGATGAATATAAACTTCTTCCGTATTGCTGGACACGCTGAAGAGATAGCATCTCAGCAGAAATTCGCGTTTTACGCGCCGATGGTGTTTCTCGATTGCCCGCATAAAGCAAGCGAAACTTTTTATCGAAATCCCCCTGCTTCTGATTTCAGAGATATTCCTTGCAGAGATAAGAGCGTGCTTCTTCGGTCGTTGACTCGACGGTAAAATATTATTTCCGCCTGTATATACTCGCTCTCGTCCTTCCTAAAGCACCGTGTCTCGAACGCGTGTTAGGTGCAGCGCAAAGGACCGACGCTCCTCATCCTATCCGCTCTCGTTCTTTCTTTCTTTTTTTTTCTTTACAAGCTGAAGAGCGAGGGTGGATCAAAAGGACGCGGCTTCTCGACGGGACGCTCATATGGGAATACACAATGCCAGAGCATAATGGTAAACGTACTGTCAAAACTGCAGCCGACTTCAGATCTATCCACACTCTACTAGCAATGCTTTTGCTTTGCCTAAAACATACAAACAGACTTTTGATTGATTTTTATTTATTTTTGGCTTCTCTATATACTTACTTATTGAAGGAACAGATTTTCTAGCGTGTTCAAATGGTATATTAAAAGTGATTCACTCAATGCTTGGCAAAATATAGATAAAAATAGTACAACAGACGAATGCTTTCATATTTAAAACTGCCTGGAATTAATTTATTTAAGAATTTCTCCCAAAAGTGATATAATGAGCTGGCTGAGCTTCAGATTTTGTACTGTCAGGTCATCTTCCTCTGAAAAGAAAGAATTAAAATTTTTATTTAATAGTGTATTCTATTAACGAAATTTTCAGTAAAATATAGTACATGGTTAAAATAATACAGACTTTCCAAAGTAATAGCGACTTAAATGAAAGATATGAGAACTATTAACTATAAAAATGTTTAAAAGTGGTTATACTTATGTATCTGCTACAAACTAGAAATCTGAGACGAATAAGTAATTCATGGAAGATACATTTTTAATGATTTCCCACTTCTAGACATTCTTAACATCGAGATTCTTGAAAGCTGGATCGAGAAATGTCAGCGAGATGCTTCATAAATCCCATGGATTTTCCACGAGATCCGGTAAAGATTACTATCCTTTGATCCGGACAGGATATACGACTAACAGGTCGTCTGATGCGCGCTCTTTTAAGAGCCGTAGATGTCCTCTGAGATTGGATTTCAATTTCAGTTTTACGAACGTCAATTAATACGTTTTTCCTGTAAAATATTAGGAAAAATATTTTATCTCTGTAACGAGTATTATTTCAGAAAAATGATACTCAAATAAAATAACAGTGCTCCTAAATGTCGAATAATTTTTAAACGTAACAAAAGGTACTACCTTATTTTACAAATCTCAAATTAACAATTCTACATTTTGTTATATATACCTTTCACATCTTTCCATCAACTTTCAATTCCAGTATTTAATTCCTCCAAAATTATAACCAGAATAGATAGTTAATGTGCGATGCATTAAAAAATATTTTTTCATATTATTAGATCAAAATCCACATAAATTTCTTCCCAAAAAATCCCCTTGATGCCAATAAACAACAAAATTTCCTTTCCCTCGAGTTTCAAAGGAAAGTGATTTCGATAAAAGAATTAATAGGTCGATTATCCCGTTGGATAAGAGATTGTGCACGGTGTTTGCCATCTAAAAGGGAGGCGAAAGATTCCTATCTATCCGCGTTGGTCCATTCGACGACGGGTTCGCCTTCGCTCGGGTATTTGCTCCCGTAATCTTTTTATCCTTTTCCCCGTGTTCATGGTCTGCGGGATAGAGGAAAAGAAGGAGGCGGAGGAGCACGGTATCCAGCCAAGCCAAGGAGCAATATCGTTCTCCTTCAGGCGGCTGCTCATCTCCAGAGGACATCAGTTCCTCTGTTGCCTCCGCGATCTCTCTGTTCCGTCCTTCTCTTTCCTTTTTCGCTGTCCTCTTTCTTCTAACGTTTACTTTCCTCTTTCGAACGAAAGAGCATCCTTGGACTGCAAATTAGCCGGGATCCCAGCGAAGAAGCTTCGTGTGCCCTCTTCTGGTGTACGTGCGCGCGCGTGCGCACCATCCATACAACATCACCCCTCGGCTTTACTCCACGGCCCTCTAACACGGTTATGGGAGCGTCGTAAATAAAACGTGCACGTAGGATCTCCTTGCCAGAAGCATAGCAACAGTTTGCAGCTGTACTTACGAATCAGGCGACGTGGTTTGTTTTGTTGGCCTACTTTCTTGCAGCGGTTACACACTCCCCTTTGAAGGTTCGATCGGAGGTGGCTACATCTTTCTTGGCCCGAGGTCAATACGACGCGCTGAACCTTGGCAGGGGACATTGATCCCGATTCCTGGAATGGCCAGTGAAAGTGCAACAGAAGCGAGATGATGCAGCCCACCACCACGCGAATTAAGGTCCAAGTTAGTTTCTCCTGCTGGCTCCTGCAAGAGGCATGCATTTTAGAAATGAAGCAACTGTGGGATTTATTGAAAGGCTCGATTCGATATTATTGAAACAGATCGACTTGAAGAAATGACAGAAGATTAATATGAATGGAAAATCTGCTGATAATGCTTTTTGCTAAATTAGATTGGTATTCCATATTCTGTGTCCCATGTTATCAGGATATACATGTCATGTCTTATAAAATTTGTTATTTTATAAATATACAAAATACCCTACAGAACATTTGTTGTTTGACCAAATCATCATTGCAGTTGCATAATTGAAATCAAAGAAAAGAAAGTGCCATAACTGTCAAAGTGGAAAGTTTAGAGAGCAAAGTAACTCACATATGAGAAAACGTATTAAGAAACCAAAATTTGTAGAAGGAATAGAATAAATATTATTCTAATTAGAATATTCCATAAAGCGCTTGGAGAAAGCACATCCCTGAATGTTATAATTTTAACAAATTTTAATGAATACCTAAATAGACGTGTGTTGTATAAGGGGCTGAAACATCACTAAAGGTGAAGGTAGCAGGATGAGAGAGAAAATATAAAACGGAAGGTCTCTGCCCAACAGCGAGTAAACTCATCAACAAGGCTTCCTAACAGACTCGTGCCTTAGATGCTTAGATAGTAGGGGTTATATCAGAGGATGCATTTGTATGAGGAGGTCGTATTACCCTGATGACGTGTTTTGGAAACCTACCACCAACGTAGTACATAAATAACCGATCCTTATTATACAATAATATGCAAATAACAAAGAGCAAAAGAACTTAAAGAAAAATCACAAAAAAATAGTCCATTTCTTTGACTAATAGTATAAAACAATTAGTCACGTTACAGATATACCATGGTTTGATTTTTCTTAAGCTAAAATAGTTTACAAGATTATATTAATATACAAATTGTATTAATCAACAACGAATCAGCTTCCAAGTAAGCGAATTTTCATACAACTAAACAAGGAACAGACCACCGAGTTCGGAGTACTTAAAATATAGCAGATTATAATTCCAAGAACAGCGTTTCGTCTGCAAAAGACTGTTCGCGAGGTTTTCGAAGAACAACGTTTCCTCGTAACCGCGAGCATAAAGTTCGAAGCAAAGAGGAGTGCGGCGCTACCCAGAACATGGTAAAATATTACGAGTCTTTGTAGGCGAAATGTATGTTTTCCGGTGTTGTTACTTTCAGCCGCGACAAGAGATGCAAAACGATTGTTGGTTTTATGCGACGCAATAAAGTTTTCCGTCGCAGGACGAGGCTGCCTCTTTTGTAGGGAACTTCGCGCTCGTGATAAATGAATTTGCCGTGTAAAGCGTAACCGCCTAATGCGTTAATTAAAAAACTTTCGCCGACTTTTGCGACTCGTTACAGTGATATCATTGTCTCGAAATTATCATGGCAGGACGACTTTAATGCGAGGGTCCACAAAAGAAACAGCTTATCGTGATAATTGACTTCTTTTCACGGCCATCTTTGTCAAGAGTATCTCATGATTGCTGTACCAAGTCTTCGTTTAAAATTTACCAAGAAATATTCTGATATAGCCCTCCAACGGTAGATTTTTGTAGGATTTAGAACGTGTTCGTATTCAGAGGCCATTTCTGAACAATTATTCGTGTGGGTGATTTTTGAGCATTCAACTAAGACAAGAAAAATAAGTATGTGAGAGATAATGATATAACGTATAAAATACAATAATAAATTTTTTTTGTTTTTAATACTTACATTAGTACCAAATAAATTGTAAGAATTAGTGGGGATAGCAGCACAGTCTAACAGTCGTTTAAAGTCAGAAACCAATGCCAGAATTGCTGACTTCAAATGTGTATTTAAATACCTAAACATACACATAAATAATAATAATTAAAGTGGTACAATAACTATAAATAAGTATATATAATTAAGTTCTTATTGGAGTAAAAATTAATATACAAGGGCTGCATATTTTGAGTAAGGACCAAAATAAAAAGTCTGAAACAGGTGATTCTGACCCTTCTGGTAGTTCTGATATTAAAGGAGTATGAATACTTCTGCTACTGACTGTATGCCGACGGAATATGCGCAATGAATCGGTTACACGAATAGTCGTAAATATTCCGCTCGTACATTTTCAATTATTCCGGTTTATTGTTCTCGTTAAGATCGATTTCAAATTATGCTAATAAATTCTACCGTAAGATTTAACCCTCTGAAGAACTAATTAAAACTTTTCTAATTCCACCTACTTCTAATTACAGCAAAATCGCGTCCGAACGTTTACGACCACCGATTTCACGTGGAAACTGTAAATTCATTCGCCGGATTATTGATTCGACAGTCAGGAAACTTTCTGAATGATCTGCCCTGAAAACGTCCCCGTTTAGCTTGAAATTAGCTCACACAGTTCCACGAGAGTTAATTACGATGCCTATACTTGGAATATCTACATAATTAACTGTATTAATTATAAAATGGATATTTAATTTAGCAAATGAACAAAAATAGAAATAAAACTGCGAAGAAGTTGAGAAGTTTGAAAATATACGTATTTACCAAGTAATAAAAGAAAATCTAAGATAAAACATTAACATACGTATAATTAAAATCAAAATCTCGATTTCAGTATCAATATATTAACAATTGAAACTGTTCCTAGTCATTCTCTAAACTGTTTTGACACATCCGCCATTTTAAATTTACGTCACTACCGCCATCTTGAAAGTAGCGATTAATATTTAAACAAGATTCGTAGCTCTTCGTCCACATTATCCATAATTATCTATAATCGCAAACAAACTTTTTAAACTATTACCACAACTTCCACCGTTCCTCGTTCAAGATCAACAACGCCGCAATCGTACTCCCTCGCGAATCAAACTTTCCGTTTAGCTTACGTTGCCATCGAACGCAACAAAAGCGTGCCGGCAATCGCCAGACAATTCTCCTTCGATCAGTCATTTTACCCGCCACCGAAAGCTGATTCAATAGCCGTCCCGGCAAGATACTTAAAACGATTCCCATCTGACTGGTCCCATCGATGCCATTGTGTACCCAATATCTACGACATGCCACAATCGAAACCCAGGCTTTTCGATTGTTCCCATCGCGTTAATGAATCCCATTACACGTCTCGTTCGCCTATCGAGTCACGTGGGTAACCGAAAATGTCGAGCAGAGACAGCGACAACTGGCGGCGATATCGGCTCGTCTAAGAGAGACACCACACGTGGCGAAACAGAGAAATAACCCAGTCAGCCACGTGTGCCAGCCGGCAACACGGCCAATTGTGCGTTACGCACTAGATATGGACGTGCTCGCACAAGAGGGGTTGCCTGGCTGCCTTAACGCCGCCAATTCGTAAGGCTCGACTACGCGCGTGCACCTCCTCTCTGTCTCTCTCCGTGGCGTCATTTCCGGCTGACACCGGTATTGTGCAGACTACATTGTCCCCGCGTGTATTCAATGAGACGGCCCGCGGCAACTAACCGTCAGGGGGGCAGGGGACAGCCGGAGAAACTGCGCGAGCAGCAGAGATGCCGCTCTGCTCTACCGACTGCCTCGGCTCGTAAGCGAACGAGCTTCCTTGGAACAATGAATTGTTCTGGAAGATGTCATTGTCCGATCGCTCGCGGGCCCTGTCGCGTTTCGCATAGTAAACTCTCGCCCCTCTCCCCTGGCCCTAACCCCCAGCCACCGACCAAGTCGCCGTCCGATATACACGTAGTGATCAACCTCTTGTTTCGCGACTTAATTTTCTGCTTATCGATCAAGTACGACGATCCGCAGAAGGATCGAGCAAAGGCAACTTCGTCGCGTCAGTTCGTGAGCAATTTCAGAAATTCGTATCTGCCATGTCTCTGTAAGAGATACAGTATGTTCGTGCTTTTTTGATGTATGGCTTGGATATTAAAAACGGCGAACGCGCTCGCGACGCGAGTGTACTGGATGAGGGTGTGGTTACCGAAAGAGAAGCACATGGAAAGAAATATTTTCTTAAAGCCGAACACCGAAATTTTTGAAATCAGTCGAATATAATCTTTTAATATACGCCTATGCAACCGATTATTATTTTCCGATAGACCTCATTACCTTTTCCTTTTTTTATATCCTTTAATTAGTAAAAGACAAAAAAGCGTGTATTTTTTGAGCTGATATTACTAATGCAGATACAGGGGAAACTTAATATTCGTGTGTACGAATCGAAAAATAACTGGCGGAAACTCAAAGCGTCCGCTAGGGTAACTTTTATTTCCGATTCCACAAATATGCTCTATAGGATATGTAGAGCCGCCACTCATGCTTCAATGTTCACGGCTCTTATCGCGGCAAAAGATTCAATGCGCGGTAAGTTCGACGAGATGATTTCATTGCGAGCACAGCCGATATGGTCTGTTACACAGAATGAATAGTCTCGATTATATCAATGGTTGGCGTAAAATTTGAACTCCTGCAATAACGACGAATTTTTATTCGCTACCGCAGAGTAGCGCTTCGATCGCGGGGGCCAATATTAATACGCGCATAACGAACCGAATGTCGTTTATATTTTAATGCAGAAAAGTGTTCCTGAAATCGGAAGTACGTGGTGAATGGCTGAACGGAATCACGTTTTCATCGGAACATTTTGTTCGTGCGGACATCAGCGATTTCTACGCGAAATTTCCTGTAAATTTTCTTCGAGATCCACCATTTAATGAAACATGCCGTTCAAATATTCAACACGTTTCTAATATGAAATAATCGACGACATCAGCGATTTTTATCGACAAGTGCATATTTTAAGAAAATTATTTTTCTTCTCGTTTCTCATGAATAGAAAAAACAATTATGAATTGAAAGAAGGTTGATACAAAACGTTGAAAGAGATTTGTTGCTGGTAACAACCGATTACGCCTAATCCAAACTAAACAACGCGTCACGCTTAAATTTAAAATGAAATTCTCCAAAAACTAACATAAAGCAAAATTCATTTAAATTCACATTATAAATAAACATTCGTGAATCACGTTAAACTCAAATTTTAATGAAAAAGTTTAAATTGAACGTGATAAAAAATCTAAATTCAATTTATCTGCTTTCATAAAAGATTAATTGAGATAGCCATTATTAAGCTTTGTAAAGAACAGAAAATCGGTAAACATTTTAAAAAAGCTCAAATTATCGGACCTACAACTCCTAAAGTCAAATATACATGCCATTAGATTAAAGTCATCTACACAAGATTCATATAGCCACCCTGCAAGCTTATATCCTTCATAATTGAAACTTCCCTTGCACCACGGTATATGTAATACGTAAGCAAGGGACATGTCTTTAATACGGTCTGATACGTGTTCAGACGTTCGTTGGAGCGGCGGAGATTCAAATACTGGCAGCATGACGGCAGACAGTAATATTCCGTTTTCGTCGACAGAGCGAGTCCGCGAATTAGCACGACGTTACTACGGCAAGTGCTCGACTCGATGGGAAGTAATATTGTCCGAGCGCCGGCACGGGGTCCTGTTTCAACCACTTCGGCTCCTTTAAACAACGGGCTCCACGCCAAAACTGCCAATCCTATCCAGACCGACTCGGCTCGGAGATTCCTGAGGAGTTTCTGCATTCGCGTCACGGCGCTCGGTTAAATCCAAAGATACGTGGAACGCGGGGAAAATGAATTCGCTCACGGTATCGTCTGCGTGGAACACAGGGTGCTTGTGGTTTCTAATGAATTTTTACTATTCGAGGCAAACGTTCTCTTCGCATTTTGCATGTGCTTCTCTTCCAGGCGAAATATCACGTGCATGTAGTCAAACATACGTGGTGTTCAATGAATCACTGTATAAGTGAAAAGGTGATTTATTATAGAAAATTAAATGTAAATATATTCTTTAAACATTTTTGCGAGTTAATTAAATAAATATACAACGCAATAGTACAAGTACCTGTAACATGTTCGATTGAAATATCCACAATACGACATATGTCACTCTAACCTCAAATATATGTCAAAATAACCTGGCTTGGAAGAAAAATCTAAAATAAACAAATTTTGATTTTAGTATGATAAAAAAGCAGAAACTAGGAAAAAAGGAAACATACCTTTAGCATCCTTCTGCCTCGATCTCATCATTTCACTTGTTTCAAAACTATCTCGACCCTGGTTCGAGCAATAACTCAACTGCCGCGCAGCACGTCTCGGTCGGTAAAAACTGACGTGATACAAATTGTACCTGCATGGCCTACATAAATCATCTCTATCTTTCCTTCGACGATGGACTGTATTCCCTTCGGCTCTATGTATCTAGAAATCAACATTATTTTCGACAAGTTACACATTTCAATTATGACTATGAAATATAATACGCGTAAACGTCATTCTCTTTCTTCCATCTTCTAACGCGCTGAGAGAGTAATCTGGTGGCTGTCTCGAGAAATTACGTGACTCGAGATACTTTGCCGTTCGAGCAAGTAACATGATACAACGATATACCGGATAGACCGGGCGACCATTAGCGTAAATTCAGAACAGAAAACTGTAGAAAGAACAACGAGGCGAAGTAGGAAGATATAAGAGAATTGATATTGCCTTAATGTACTTACTTTTTCGGTCGATAGTTACTTGTCTTCCACTAAAGTTTTTCACTAGATGTACACAATAATTCATCACTATTTTTCACCGTATCCCAAAGTCTTCGCATTTTTCTCGATTAATGCTCTCACACGCACGTTCATTCAGCACTATAGCGATCCTTTACCTTTTTATCCTTAACGAGCTCAACATTGTCCTAATAAAATCTGATAAAAAGTCGGATATTGCGAGAAACGAATTGCAATATAGCGCTCGCGATATATTACAACGAAATTGCTTCATTTTTCACTTTGCCTTTAATGGCGAGTCTTGTTGGATAATGTCAACGTAAAGAAATTTATTTCACAGTGCCGTTATTTTTTTGTTGTATTTTATTATAAATACGGAAGACTGAGATCAGTTAAATAATTTAGAATTATTATTAGTGCTATTTCATGAACTCAAAAATAACTGACAGTAACGAGAAAGAACGGATATTTTAAAAATTACTGGAAGCGTAACAAACATCGATATCTTCACAAATTTCGGCTCTTGATAACTGATACACAAACTAAGAATATTTTGAAATTATTTCGAGAACCGAAATCAATTTTATAATAGTTCTCAGCCATGCATGAATCGTATAAAATTTACGCAATAGGTTGAATATTTGATAATTTAAGTAATATGAATGGACACCACGAATCAAATACTATGCAAATAACTGGTATCCATATTACCATGGAGAACTGTATCCCTAATGAATAGCAAACTCTTAGTTGTGTTTCTGTCAACAAATTAACACGATAGGCAACGTTTACTGTAAACAAATCAATATGTGTGTTCGATCGATGCAAACCCTCTATCACCAATGTAATTTCAAGATAAATGCACTTCTAATAAGACACCAAAGCATCTAAACATTAAATAAATCACCGTCTATAACAATTATCTGAACACTGCACTGACAGAATATTTTTCAACGGATCATATCGTATTTAACGTCGCGAAGGTTATTCCGGCTTCCACATACGTCTAATCACGTATACTGATCGCGAACTACCACTACTAACACTATCCTGTCAACGCAATATTCTTCTTAGATCTAAACTCTTCTCTGATTGGCGCAGAGATCCGTCGCGTGATTTTTCATCTGTCCTGTTATTGGTCAAGAATAACGCGTGATTAAGTGTCGAATAATTTTAGCGAATTAGGTGTTCCGATACATCGAATGGTTGGCTTTTGTTTCTCTGCCTATTAACATTGCTTGCTAATTTAGTTTGAAACGGTCGTCCATCTTTGCAAGTTGTGTATTCCCTTCGTTTAGAATTTCGTAAAGACTCGGTAAGAAAATTGAGCTAAACGCGAGTGTGACATGCGAGAACCGTGGCCGGTAGGCAGAACGAAACGTAAACAATACGGGTCAGGCTCATGGTTAATTTTCGTCGCCGCTTTGTGCCTCAGTTACGTGTTATTCTTCGTCGCGTTCGGACAAGTCTCGACGTGTGACGCAGTTGATTATGCCACACCCCATCGGAAGTGAAATGATAGGGTAGAGTAAGGATCTAATATGCTCTTTCGAGTCAGTTTGTGCGTAAATCCTGTGAATATTCAGTTTATATTTTAAAGGTGAACTGTGTAGCTCTTAAAATATTTTTCTGTGACGTTGAATGTGTTCATTTGTATGTGTATATACGTAGCAGTGGAAAGTCAACCAAGCATGGGCGGAACATCACAGTGGTAAGTCAGATACGTTATCCTATTCCAATTTGCACTGAAAATGATTTCTGGGAGAATTTATATTATTTTATCATTACATTTCATTACGAGGGGTTATGCACTGGGCAATTGAATATAAATATAAATTCCTTTAAATCATTTTTCACGCGTACTTTTCGTTATTCGTATTTGCATATCATTCGTACTTGAATGCGTTGCAATTTGTTACACTGTATTAATTAAATATTTCAAAGCAATTTTTCGCAAAATGTGTTGAAAAATTATGCATATATAACGTAAACAACAAATACGATATAGGATGCATTTCGTGTATCGAATATTTTATATAAAATCATATTTAATCGTCCAATTTTAAATGATATTAGTATTAGTTTTATAAACTATATTCGATACAGTTTTCTTATTGCGTTAGTGCTTCGTTAGTTCTGTATACGTGTGTTTTCTCTAGTAACAAATCAGTCTCGCGGAATAGTTAATTATGTAGAGAAGCAGTTTGATACACAGAAGGCAGAGAAAACGGATAGGCCGTTAATAAAAGTTTTAACATTTCGCGGATCGAAAATAAGTCTTGCCCGCTTCTCTGCGGCCATTCCCTCTGTTATCCGTCCAAAGAGCAACTGAAAGCGATGAAAAATTGACTCCACTCGTTGAGCCGTGGCAAAGTTGCCGGAACTTCCGGCGACTTTCCTCTTCTTGCTTAAAAAAAACTCTCGGGGATGAGAGCGGGATAGCAAAATCGAGAAAAAGGAGGGCAAAAAGCCACGGTGGGGTAGACTTAGGGTGTTCCAGTTCGACAAGCAGAAGAGCGAAGTTTCGGCTCGTTAGTAGTTAGAAGAGTCGATAGAAATTTCGAAAGCATCAGATTTCCCCTAGACTTCGTTTTATCCATACGTACTCGCATTAACGTCTTCCAAATTATAAATTCAAATTACGTCACGGGAATAAGAGTGCTCGTTGTCTTTGAGTTATTAGTATCATTAAGATAAGTCAAGCGGAAAGTAAAATCGTCAAAGATAAATTATTTCGATGGAAATAATATCGAAAATCGTTACGTGACTTCCACGCGATTTTTCGCCGACGCAAAGTCAATTTATGTCTATATACATACACGCCCGATCAAAGGACCGTCCCAGGTATATCAGTGCTTAAATAGGTCGCCATTTCAACCGGACCTCGATCCCTCGAAATTTTCAGTCAGCCATATACATATCTTATATAGTGGTTACACGTACAGTATAGCTAATAGAATTATTGCAATTATTTTGATCATTGCCGATAGCGATATTTGATCTATTTACTGTAGTATATGAGAATACAGTTTTACTGTATCGTATATAGTAAATAGGTCCATTAATATTTTATTATTTATCTTACTATACTGTAGGTGAGCGGCTACGTGTACAGTATAGCTAATAGAATTATTACAATTATTTTGATCATTACATAGCGATATTTGATCTATTTACTGTAGTATATGAGAATACAGTTTTACTGTATCGTATATAGTAAATAGGTCCATTAATATTTTATCATTTATCTTACTATACTGTAGGTGAGCGGCTACGTGTACAGTATAGCTAATAGAATTAATACAATTCTTACGCCATGGCGAGTGATAAATCATTAGCATCGGCGAATCCATTAACATGGTTCGGTTAACAAAGCACATCGAACGTAACGAACTGAGCAGCGAAGGGATGCCATTCGTTAGACGGAAAAGAACGTAACCGTGAGAGGTACATTGGCGTACTCTACCTAATTTCGGCCGACTATCGGCCACGATTCAATGCAAACCGTATAATTTTATCGGAATCGAAAACCGATAACGGTTACGCGGACGTCTGTTAGGCCGAACATGGGTGCGATTAATTATCCCCGAAAGTATACACGCAGAGTACGTTACGCTGACCACTTCTGTCGAACGTGGCAACGTACGGATAACCTTTTTCAATTTAATTTATTTCGTCTCGTTTTCTCGTATAGTCCGTACAAGAAATGCAGTGCTCTTTTAAAATCAGTGAAAACAAAGTGCAAGTACAGTGTCCGCTTAAATCTCCAACAATTATTCCCACCATTTCCGGAAAATCTTTACTCGCGTCATGGTAACGCGTGCTACAATCGACTAATTCCTGTAATAAATCTCTCCGCTTAAATATCCATGCTCGGTCCCAATTGGTGGACATTTAAGCGGACACTACTGTATTTCGATTCTAAGTTCGCGCGTTAACCGATAGTCGGCGCGCGGGAGCCAATCAGTGCCGTACGATGACAATTTGGAATCGGTTCTTTTATTGCCCCCTCTCGTTAACAATAGTTTACGAAATTTTTTTTTTTTAAATATTCCAAATATTAGTATTCGTAAATTGGTAGCAAGTGGTAGATAACGAATTAACAATAAGGTTCCAAGTTAATCGACAATATTTTTCATTTTATTCGATGCTAGATCTCCCTACAGCAAGAAACTCGAGACGTTCCGTGTCACATTCGCATGAATCGAATACAGTAACTTATAATCCGACAGTATTCCTCACGCGGACTATACTCGACTGTCTCTCCGATATCGCGCTACTACGCGCATATCTGTCTCTTTGAGATGAACACCATCCTCGAGGCAACCACCGGTAAAAGTCCAAGCAGGCAGGACTAAAAGAGGTCGACAACCCCGCCCTCGATAATTACCGTGGGTGGCGTGGGCGAAGCTCTTTCTCTCTTTTCCTTCTCCTTTTCTGTCTCGCCCTTTCTCTCGGCCTAGCCTGTCCTCCTCGTGGCCTCCCCATCCCCACTCCCTTTCCCGCGCTCCGTCTTCGTCGCTCCTTCGCGCGTCGCGTCCCCCTCTCTTTCTAGCCTCTTGTGGCTCTCTCTTTCCCT